TTGTTCTCCTAGGCTTTTTCATCATCCACGCATTTACCGGTTTATTCACAAGATTCATCATGAATGGACAGCTCCAATTGGTATTGTTGCAATCTACGCACATCCTCTTGAGCACGCTGTATCAAATCTTGGCCCAATCATCCTCGGTCCGCTGATCATGGGTTCACACATTGCTACGGCCTGGATGTGGTTTTGTTTGGCACTTATGACAACAATCAACACCCACAGTGGCTACCATTTGCCTCTTATGCCGTCACCTGAAGCTCATGATTTCCACCATCTCAAGTATGTTGCCACTTATTTAACTAATTAAGGATATTTGTATTCTCGACTCCAAAGCTTAGATCATGTTGACATGCCACGCCACATCACCTATTGACTTTATCAGTTCCTTACATGTAACTAGAAGTGTACCATTAGCAAGGTGAAGAGCGTAGGAAACTTAAAACCATACAACTACCAGATTTCCTCGAATAATAGCCGTCATTTGATTAATCGCCTCCCTCGAATAATCGCCCCCCCCCCCTCGCCTTCTCCCCACCCCTCTCGCCATTTTCTATTTCTTTTATCCCCTCCCTGTCAAGTTGATGTCCAATAGAATCCAGCAAAACTGGTCAGTGACGATTCAAGCTCTCAAAATTAATCAAGGAACCAAATTTGGAACTCTTAAAAAGCCCATGTTCAGTTGATTTGAAGTGATAATTCTTTGATTTAACAAGATAGTAAAGGAAAATATTTACGGCACGACTTCTATTGGGCAATATTCAAAATAATCGCCTTCTCGCCCCCGGCTGTTATTCGAGGAAATACGGTATCTGTTCACGTCCTTAATTTCCATACATATTTGTTAAAAATGTGCTCAAATCAGCTTCACGGCTTAAAAATACTGGAAAACAAGGAGTGGCCAGAATACAGAATTGTTGCGGTTAAGTGCGCAGAAGTCCAAGCTTTCAACGACGAATTGAATCTTCGTAGAGTGTTTTTTAAAACTGAATTCTTCTTGTTTTTGCAGATTTACTCAGAACTATGGTGTCCTTGGCGTGTTGGATCGTCTCCATGGTACAGATGTCATGTTCAGAGATTCCCGAGCTTATGACAGGCATATCATGTTATTGGGATTCATTCCTCTCAAACAAACCTTTCCTGACAACCCTAAGAAGGGCTCACCTAATAAGACCAAGTGAAACCTGTTTTTTTGTAATTATTTGTTCCCTGCAATTTGTTTGTCAATATTGTTACTTTAAGTTCAAATAGAACTTAGTTTATAAAGGTTTGAAAGAAAATAGTTTATGCTGTCATCAGTTGTGGTTTTCCTCTTTATTTATTTAATACTTATGGCCACTCTGGATGTCTTGTAAATTAATTTCGGTTTATATACAGAGGATTGTAAATGTTACGGAGATAAATTTTAAGACTGAGGGACAAGGTATTTTCTGAGTTTTTTCATCTTAAGTTATTCTTAAACACGTATGGAGTTTCTTGTATAAGTTAAGATGTTTGAACTCTCCTCATGGAGAGAAAATAATGTACATCACGAATGGGGTGTTCCAGTAAAATAAAAGTGTTTGAAAGAATAGTATTCGTCTCGTTTTTTTTTAATGAAGGTAAATCGATGAGAGTTCACAACCATTTTAGACAAAACGGAAAATGGAATTATATAGTGCGAATAATGTCAGAGTTGTACGTTATCCTTACCAGAACTTAAAGAAGGTTGAGTGACGTCACTTTCTCGACCCAGGATACTGCAGATGGAGAAGTCCGTGGGTGACTTGTTGCGAATACATGACCTTCTGGCATGCGCAGAACGCACAGGAGAATCCACTAGTGAAATAACGGATTTCATCTGATGACACTCCATTTCAACAGATTTGATTAGCTGGATATGGATTTGATACTAACAAACTCAGAGTGACCGAAACGACATTTATCTGTCGTCGGTACTCTAACATCTGTCGATCAATGAACGACAAAGGAAGCGGCCCGACAAACAAATCGTTTATTGACCTGCATGTTTGCCGAGTTCTAGAACAGTTCAGTGCCGGATCCAAGATAAGTGATAAGAGATAAGTGGGGTCCGGTCATCCAGAACCTTTGATAAGGGGGGGGGGGGGGGGGGGGGGGGG